CATTTGTGTTGGGAAGAGACACTCCAAAAGTCAGCACTGTTCGTAGAGGGCCAGTATGAGATGTATTTTCTATTTACAAGAAGGAACAGCAGTGCAACTCGGATAGCTACTTTTAAGAACTATCAGCCTGTTTTGGTAGCTAACAAAACCCACATCACGTCCATTTGCAAAAAGCCTTCTGAAAAGCTTTATATTATGGAATGACTCAATCTTTAAGGAACGGGGGGCATACAACCCACAAACACCTTAGTGCCAAAATATGTTTTTGTTAACAAATGCATTTGTTGGGTTTATTTCAGGCACATTCTCGAAACCTCAAAAATGTAGCACAGTCATTTTGCAACTGACTCATTGTGCACCAGTTTTTAGCTTTTTCCTTTTTTTTTTTTTTTTAATGTAATTCAGTTATGCCCATCACCCCACCCACAAATTAGGGGTTTATAATGGAAATTCTAGCAGGACCTTCACTATGGTGGTGCTTGCAGGCACTGTCATGATAAATAATTTACTATTTAATGACTCCTGATGTAATCACAGCAGGAGTCAGATTCACTAACATCCATCTCCCCATTGTTATCCAGGAGGACTAAGACGGTAGGGAAATATCACTCTTCTCTGAGCCCATCTTTTTAGCTCCCAACTTTAAAACGAGTGTTTTAATTGGTAAAGAGAGAGTTTACCACCACAGTCCAACCTCTACATTTGTTTATGTTGGATGACACTTTTGTTCTGGCTCACATTACTCAGATGGATAAAGCTCAGAAGGGTTCTGCTTTACTGCCCTGTTTTCTCTTAGTGTTCCTGCATTTTTTAAATGCTACCAAATGGTTGCTTTTGGCTCCCAGCATTATCACATGTTGTCTATAAGTATGGAAATAGTTATGGTAATATGGACGTAAATCATAACTGTAAATACCACATAAAGAAGACTGCCATATAATTATAAAAATACCTAATAGATTTCTTTTTCAAAGACAACACAGCTGTCCCTTCTAACCTTTCATTTGTAGATTCTTTTCTCTCCTGTTTTTATTTATAGGTTGCCGTGCAGTTTGACAGAGCACACCACGATTTTTGTTTCTAATTTTGAAAAGAAAAGAAAAAGAAAGAATACTCATTTCATCATAAAGAAGCATTAGTTTACAATTTTGAAAAGAAACTAACGCCAGCTCTAGAACATCATCTTGGAACCAATCTCCCTCTTAATACATTTCAAAAGAATCTGTCAATGGCTACATACCACAATTTAAAATTAAACCCTGCCATCGAACTAAAGAAAAGGTCGGCCAAATGGCATACATCACGTGTTGGGAAAGAAGCCCCATTCTTTCTCTAAACATCTCAGTGTTTTCATGAAAAGAACCACACTAGGTTATTATGCTGACCACAACAAAATAGGATTTTTATACCCTACCCAGGGAAAAACAGGTTGAAAAGTGTTATGGCTAAACTTGCACTATGCAACATGCCATGCTAATGAGAGGAGTAAAGCCTTACGCAGCACTGATGTTGCCAAAAAAGGTTTTACATATTGTCTGGAAACTGCCACCATAAATTTTATCCCTTTCTAGTCAGCTTTGCAACGCTTAAAAGCAAAGTGATCCAAGTAGATTTTCAACGCTGCTTTATGCTGGACTCGCATGGTGCTTCATCCTACACAACCTTCTTCTTACCTCTTCCTCGTTACCTTAAACTTGCATACGGAGCCCGGATGGTCACAAAAGAGAGGCTGCAGACAATGCTACTCGTGCCACATGAATGGAAGGCTGTTATCTTTGAATCTTTGAAACATTTTTCCTCAAAGCTTTTATCTATCACTAAGCAACCACTTCAGAGATCTGTGCTTATGCCCTTCTACACAGCAAATCCCACATTTTAACTCAAATAGTAGCAAAACTCTCAAGGGAATGGAGTTCATCTTAACCATCAGAAATGTATGCTTCTCCCTCTCTCTCTCAAAATTTATAAAAAGAGTAATTATGGCTTTATACAGAACGACACACAGCTCTGAATGGGCGAATTACACTCCGATTCCCTTTCAGAGAAACAACTAAAACAGATGAACTGGAAAATGCTGGTGGGAAAGATCAGTCTGGGCTAGAGGTGTACTAATAGCTTATTGATACAGATTTTTAAGCAGATGAAACATTCAAATCCACGCTGCATTTTTATCAGTCTACACCAACTGGCCTTTGTCCAAAAATGTGTCATTTTATCAGATGTGTCACTTGGTTGGGAGGCTGCCATGACTATACTGGGTGACTGAATGTTAAAATAATTTCTCCAGGGGGAAGAGGCTGATCCCAAAGGTTTTCTAGTTCCAAGGGGGAGATCATTTTTCACCACCAGCTGGAGCCTGATGTCAGACATGCCCTTGCTTCATTTATTCTCTTCAGAGGTTGAAACCCAGCTTGTCCTTCCTGACTCCAATATTGTTTCACATTTGGGCACATAGCAGCTACTACACAGTGAACTATTAAAGAAGGAGAGCCCATGAGACATGGGAAAATAGTTTAGGGGAAGCTGTTTGACAGCAGGATGCGGCCGTTTCTATTGTCCCATTAAAATAGAGATATCTGGGAAGCTTAACTTTGTTTTCACTATGTAAACACATGTATTTTAGCCTAATGTACCAAGAAGATGCAAATACAAAAAAAAAAATCCCCCAAAACAAACCCACACCACCAAAACCCCGAGCAAACCAACACAACAAAAGTTTGCCGGTTTTGTGCACTGTGTCTACTTACTTTGCAGGAATATGAGAATGAAGCCCTGTACACCTGAAGGAAGGTTATTTTGTACTGAAAGAACAAATACCCTGGGTTCCATCAGACTCTGGCATTTTATTTTACATTTGTAGTTTAGTCTGAGAGCAAAAAGGAAGCTGCAATGGCTGAATGTCTTTCATAGAGTCATTTTATGAAAATATCTTGACATATTTTTATTCCCTTTTATTTGTTTTCTCCAGAGCAATAAATAGGGAGATAGAAATCACCAGTTCCCATACAATATGTGGTCAGTTAAAGCACTGCAGTTCAAGTCTTCAAACAAAATAGCAGCTAGGTCTTGCCCACACTAATGGTTTGAGCTTGTGCCAACGATATTTAGATCATGCTTAAATGAAGTTAAGATGGCTATACCATTGTGTTTTTTTTAACTTGCATGACTGTTGTTCCGGGAACATTGTTGTGAATCCCTGCTACAGACTGGTTACCACATGCTTACAATAGACATTTAACATGAGAAGGTGAAACCATGTGGCTTCAGGCTTCATCATCTCCAAGCATTTACATCGAAGCAGCATTGATGAAAATTATAACTTTTTTGAATCAGCTAGAGTTCAGTTTTCTAGCAGGTTTAAACTGTAAAGGCAGAGCATAAGCAGGTATCTGCAACAGAGGTCATTCACTACAGCATTTACTGCATATGCTGGCATCTCCTGTAACATTGCTCTTCTAACAGCAAGATACCACTGCAGTACTCTAATTAAGGCTTTGAAATAAAAAGTTATCAAATCCACAGCATACTGTGCTAAAGCTGGACCAATGCCAGACACGTTAATAACTTTCTGACCTCTCTTCTTCATAAACACGGAGCAGTCAGGAGACCATGAACAACTGCTTCCAGAAGTATTTACAATACTAGCACTATTTCTCACACAAAGTAATCTAACTGTTAGCACAGATACTTTTACTGCTAAATTTTCTAATCCGTATTGCAAGTTTCTTCATATATAGTCAAGAAATCTGAATGAGCTAGTAGTGTGAATTTACAGAATATACAGAGGCTAGAAAGCAATATAACTCTTTTGAAGTGAATTAAGGTAATCTGAACAAAAGCCATTTACACTTTGAATGAGTGTGTCCGCACAAGGGACCAGTCCACTTTAAAAGTTAACTCGGATAATTTGTCTTTATCTGTGAAGCTGATTCTCTGACACTATCCAAGAAAGCTAAAAGTCAAAGAAAATCTGTCCATTGACATCGCAGCATCACATATTTCCAATATTGTCCTAGCAATGATCATTATATTGGGCAGGAGAGGGAGGAATTATATTTGTTTAATTTCAGTTTCTGCTTTTTGGCAAGATGCACAGCTCTTCTTAAGAATAATGAAAAGTATCCTTCCTCTTTCCATCTCACCCCACTTCCCCAGAGAAAAGTAAAAAGAAAATTTGCATGACAAATTTGAGTAAGACAAGGATACAAATAGGCAATGGATATGTTAAATTCAAATGGCCTTTTGTCTCAGCTGTTACATCATACCACATACCAAAGCTACCGCGTTGCTACTGTCCACAGACAGCACACTGTTCTAGGGATGCCGGTTTTCAGGGGTAGGTAAGAGACCTGACCTAAAAACTATTAGAGAAATAGATTCCTAGTTTTAAGCAAACTTGTATTTTTGTTATCACTTGAGTGGGAAAAGCTCTTGAGGATGTTTGGAATAGGTCTAAAACAATAGAGCTTCACTGAGCTTTGGCCTTTAGGCATACTTCTAAGTAACTCTAATTAATAACAAAGGTGAACATACGCTTGGAGAGAAGACCATGGGGGAGGGTCAGAACTGATGCAAAGATAACTGCACAGGGGGAAAAATGCAGTAAACATTAAAGAACCTCAAGATTATTAACTGAGAGATCAACTGTTGCTATTTACAAAGACTCCTGATACTAGCCTCTCTGTTTAACTCATTAATTCTTGTATGACAAACACCTTGTCAGTTCACAGTACTTATCTACAAGATGTGTGATTTGGCTTCAACATGAAAGTAGTCCCTTTTAAAATCAAGAACCAAATCTGTATGGCATGTAAATGGTTAATGCTGAACAACATGCACATGATACTTCATCAACTCCCTTACAAAAATTAGGATATTATTCTTTATTATGGTGCCCTGTAATTCTAAAGTAAATCATGCCAAGATACTATCTTACACGTCTGTAGATCAGATATCATTACTCAGAAAAAAAAAAAAAATAAAAGCTTTCATGCACTTACCTTATCCTCTAGCCGGATCAGTCTGGCTCCTACAGTGTAGTATCCTTTGTCTACCCCTTTTTCTAAATAAAGAAGAATAAAAATGGGACGTTCATTAGGTGGAGAAAAAACTCAAACTAAGAATTATATTTATGGTATTTTAAAGCAAAAAAGAAGCTGGTAATAGTAGGCTAGTATAAATAACATGAACACAACAAGAAAGAATTTCTTCATGGTGTACAGAAGTGAAAGAGTGTTGTTGGAGAGAAGGGAATTAGTTTGTCTAACTGACAAGATTAAGTTAGTCTAAAGGGCAACCTGGACCTTGGTAGAGGTAGTCTGTGGACATGAAGGACTACAGATAGTGTCTGAGGTAACTTGATTCCTTGCTTAATTATCCCAGTTAACTGCATGTAGTTAGTTGGAATAGGCATGCTCCCTAGGTATACCCCCTATTTTGAATATCGTTGATGTGAGCAATGTATACTTTCTATACATAAAGAAATCAGAAGAGTTTTCAACTGAGGTTGTAGATGTAGAAGGCAGCACTACCCAGGGGTTCAAGGGCTGGAGTGGCAGAGACCTATCTCCTCTCTGCAAATGAGTGACACTGGGAAAAGCCCTTGCATCTCTAGCCTCATTTTCCCTCCCAGCCTTCATAAGACCCGGTTATTAAAGCCCAATTATGCAATTTGTTTTACTCGCACACTGCAGATGGTGGGATTGGGAGCCAAGATTGAAAACGGTGTAAAGTGGGGTCTATTCTTTGTGTTCACATGGCCAATTGCAAAGGAATGCCATAGTTTGGGAGTGTTATTTCACAGGGAATGAAGCACAAAACCACATATATTCTGAGCTGGGAGAAAATATTCATAGGAAAAAAACCACCCCCCAATACTGAAGTAATATAGAAGCCTATGTTAATGGAAGTTCAACACATTTTTCTCTACTAAACTATATTTCCAATACCATGCTGGGGTCATTACTCCTTGTTTGTTCCATAAATCACTTTTATGAGTGGCTGAGCTTTGGTTTTTAAAGCTATTTAAGTCCGTTTTGCTTAGGGCATGAGCACAATGTGAAGGGCTTACTAGAAGGCAGGCCGAGATATGAATTTACAGTGCATCAGCACCCACCGCAACTGCCTGTATGTGTGCTCGTTCTGCAGGGAACTCACATTCTGGCATTTCTCAGTGAATGGTACAACAAATGTGATATGTTTAGTGATATATTTGCACCAAACTTCATCTCAAGGAACTTGTACTGTATGCACCACAACCTTAGAGGAAGACTTTAGCAAAAAGCAATGCCGGCATGGTACCCTTCTTGCTTTCCTTCTCCTCTACAGACCATCTCCAATATTAAAAATGTCTTGGACCCTTGGCAGCTCTGCACAGGCATTAAAAAGAAGCGTTTCATCAGAGAACCCACAAGAATAAATACCATAAGGAGAGAAAACTCAAAGATTGTTGAAGGACCCTGTGTGGGGACAGAAAATAAAGAACAGCTTGGCTCCTACATGTGTGCTGTTCCTCATTCATTAGTTCACAACTGCAGAAAGCTCTTAAAATGTAAGTGGCTGGGGGTCAAGTTTATCTATGTATATTCACCTCTGCCTAAAATGAAATAATTGACTCTGCAGTCTACTTTCTATAGTTAGTAAATCGATAGACACTTAACATCTTTCAAAGCATATACCAGAAAAACCATGGCTTTAAGGATTTCTAAAGTAGGATGCAATTTGAACAGCAGTGGGTAGGTAATGTTTTTGTTTAGGTCTAAAACCAAAAAGCCCCCCAAACCTGAAGAAATGTTCCAATAAGCTTATTTAAAAAAAAAAAAACAAAAACCAAACCACAATAATTTCCTCACCAGCTCTAATTACATCCTTCATGTAATCACCAACACATCCCAAAACAACCAAATCAAGTTAATAATGTTTCCTATTCTCAAATATGGTGCGGAACAGAAAACAAGAAAAGAGGAAGCAGATAAGCCCTAAGAAGCTATTTTGTGGCATGTGGCACTCCTATCAGATGAAGTGAAAAGAATGATACACATGCATGTAGCTGTGTCATGTCCACCCCTTTACTGGCAGGCAGGCTGTGTAAGTCACAAAAGGCTGCAGTCCTTCCCATTTCTTATTAGCCTCCATTTAAATCAGCATTCAGCTCTAATTTACAAGCATTTTCCTCTAATAAAGACCACCTTTAAAAGTAAGTAAATGGGGTGTGTATACAATGTGCAGAGCATTGTGGTAAGAAGTGTGGGCAGAAGTTCAGATAACATTGCTCTAGTACATTTGATTTCTATCTCATGTTTATGCTTTCTCTCTCGAGTCTTTTCAAGATATGTGATTTTAGACTTCCTACATTAGATTATTTGCTTTTACATAGTTGAAAACACTGCATGGCTTACTATAAATCTGAAATGTCTTAATTTTACATTCTTTGCTTTGCAATCCAAAATAAGTTTCTTTTAGTATTGAGTTTTGCCTGTTCTTTGCATTGGTCTGCAACAAAACAGACAGATCAGCTAAGCAATCCAGTGACTTTGTACATATATGTGAAAGGCACAGACACAAAGGAAATGTGCATGATCATTATGAAAGGAGGCTCAATTATTTATAACTGGATGAAAATACGTATGGACAAATTTTAGCTCAGGAGAAAAAAATAAATATCTTGAAACAAGCTTGTATCATATGGTTGGTATGATACAAACCCATCATTTTATATACTTAGACTTGAATCAGACAAAACAGTAGTATATAAGCAATAAGCATTATACTTCAGGAAACTGAATAGCTCTTGGGTCATCTAGTCCATTTCTCAACTTTATTAATAAATAAATTTCTTCCCTGAAAGTCTTTGCCCTCCTGAGTATACTTACTGTACTACTTTCAAAACAACACGATCCTGTATTTATTTCCCAATATTTTCACAAAGCTGGCCCATCTCTTTTTCTGTGAACAAGAGATGCCTCTTGTAAAAAAAATTATTAAAAATTTTCAAGTATTCCCCACACCAGTTGCAAAACCAAAACTCTTCCCCCTAATGGAAGCACATGATATAAATGACATATTACTTGTTATTCAAGTTTGTTTTCTTTAACAAAAACCAGCAATTACCATCTGAAATGAGTAAAAGTGCAAATCAAATGAGGGACAGCACCATAATCTTAATTTTTTACTCAATTAGTGTGTTCCATCTTATCAGAATATACCAAACTTTTAAGAAAATAGAATTTTTAGTTTGGTTAAAAAAAATTACTGATGGGGAGCATTAGGACAGTGAATGAATTGCAGACAGATGGTCTGAAAATGACGAAAGCTGGAAATGATCTATTCTGCTTTTACAGAGTAAGAGTCCTTCCTTGATTTTTACTTCTATGGTGTATACAGCTAGAAGGGAGCTAACTAAAAAAATTTAAAATTTATCTGAAAGCCATCAACTTTTTTTAAGCAGAAAATGAGGAATTTGGGCATTATGACACCTAGGATACTCCAGATTGCTAAAGACATCTCAAAACCTTGGCAAATTTTATCAAGTTCAGTAGTAGGACTACAGAAAGCAGGGTAGTGCAAGAGATACCACTACCTTCTTTTGTCTAACTCAATGCAACTACAGCCGTCTGGATCTGTATTTGTTCCAGTTCTGTAAAAGCTCTATGTAGGGAAAACTGCAATGAGCTTATGGCAAGATCTAGATTCTTAGGTTTATAAACTAGGTGTGCTTCTGAAAACGCAAGTCAGGATTGCCCTTTTAAGCCCTGGATCCATAAAACAGCAAATAACAAAGTTGCCTTAGGCATCATGACTTTTGACTTGAGTCTCTTCTCTTGTCAGCCAGAGCCTTTTACAGCTGATAGGTAGAAGAAATTAAAAAGAAGTAAGACATAGTCCTAGATCAGGCACTTGTGATTTCCCTTGGACAGCTTAAAGAAAATTTAAAAAGTAAACTACCAAAATATTTTAGTTTAGAAGGCTCTACTACAACACAGAAAACTGCAATAAAGCTAACTGTTCCATGATGAAGGTTCAACAGTATACACTGAAAGTAGAAATTTCTAGCTTTTTCAAGGTGCAAAAACACAGCTGCAGGGAGTAACCTGCCAGGTTAAAGATGCGCAATCACCTTTCAACAAATAAAACAGACCTAAACAAAAGGTCTGTCTGCCTACTTGCTTCATTTATCCAGCCTCTGAGATGACATATTTGCTCAAGTGGCTCATGAGGAACAATATAATCAATTTATTAGAGAGAAGCCATATACACTGAATCTGGTATGAAGTACATCACACTTCTGCCCTTCCTCCAGCAGGTGCTGATGGCAGCATTTAGACACACTATCATTATACTATGTATAAAACAATTAATATATCAAATACAAAATGAAATGCAAGCTCTGTTATTTCTTTTTATTAAGAATGCAATTCAACACTCTTTGGAGGACTTGGATGAACAGTAAATTAGCTGCAGTTTCCAAGCCATCAAAGTAGGATATATGTGATATTTCTGCTGGCTCTTTGCATTGAGGTAAATCAACCCCAGTAATGAAATGAACTTTCAGAGACAAGATTGTGAACAGCTGACAGCTACAGAAAATGTCCAAAGTTTTATTTTTGACCAAGTTCCCATGGATTTTGTCTCCAGGAGGGGTGGAATAAATCAGCTCCTGAAGAAATATGGGTATGTCGCATTTCAAATATTGACTTAAAAAGATAAAAATTAAACTAAGTGTATTTATTATGCTTTAAAAGAGATCACGACACATTTTCTTCTTAACAGCTGGGAAGGAAATAGCATCAGAAAGCTTAGGTGGCATTTAATGGAAAAAAAGGCAAACAATGGAACTGTCAAAATTTTACAAGAAAGCCTTTTTCTCCAGGGATTCCCACCTATGTTATGCAGACCCAAGAGGTTCAGATGAACTGCAGATAAACATCAGCCTTTTGCTTACTTTTCTGAACCCAAACACTGGATCTTTTGTTTTACCTTGGCATTATTGTTCACCTTTGCCCCTGAAAAGCTATAGTAAGTCTCAAAAATTGCATTCAAAAGCAATTAACTCCATCATGTGTAGTGAAGGTCAAGTATTACACTCTTCTTATTTGTATCATTAAATAAGTGTCTGCTTTGTTAATTCAATAAGTTTTATTAACATGTACTTTGCCTCTATATCAACACTTTCAATTATTAAGGGGTTTGTTTACTATTACGGGAATCTTTGTTTCATCTTACAAAATTGCATTACCTGGAACACTGAGATGGGCTTTCAATGAAACTAAGACTCAGTCTTCTTGGTATACTCATAAAAATGGGATCCAAGTCTTTGGAAAATTTATTATCTTAATGCTTTTAAATCTACTCCTGATATTAGAAATTTCAAAGCAAGCTAGTAGATACCAAGACCAAAACAAGCAAAAAGGGAGGATTCCTCACATACGTGTATGTGAAACGTAAATCACGAAAATTCTTGTCACAAAATACCGCAGATATTAAAAGTTTACAGAGGAAACTAAGCGAGCTTGTTAAGGACAAACCAGTTAGGACTACTAAATACACAGAAACCATGTCAGGAAGTCTCTGATCTGCAAATGGCTGAAAGCTTACAGGAAGGTTAGAGGCTTATGCGTGCCCTTTTTTTATACATTTCCCAAAGCACCTTGCTTCTGGCTCCGTCGGAGTCAGGACTGGTCTGACCCAGCACGGCTTTTATTCTGTTCTTGTATCCTTATCTTGTTTTAACACAGCTTTTAGTGCTTTTTATCTTTGAGAAACTAACTTGAAAAATAACAGTAATTGCTTCCAGTGAATTCAGATTCTGGATCTTTTATGACATCATTCACTTTTGAAAGGTAATAATAGTATAGACACACTGCAATTACTTCATATAATATTATCAAAGTTGACAACAGGGTTTCAGTAACAGCCTGATCCAAAACTCACTGAGGTCACTGGAAAGACTCCATTCATTTCAACGGGCTTGGAATCAGACCTTAAGATTCTTTGAATGGGAGTATAATAAAACAGGAAAAAAAAGGAGCTGGAAAGGAAAATTCTTCTCATGTTTTTCTCCTTGGCAGTTTAATTTTCTTTGCATTCACATTTCTCTTTTGCTTGCCATCAATAGAAAAATAACACAGCCTGGAGGAAACACCCATATTGTTTACAAATGAGGTTTTTAGCAATGCCTTTGAACTGGAAAAATATCATATTGAAAATACATTTTTAATGCAGAATAAGCCATCCATTCTGAGGAAAACTCAGGAACAACTCTTCTTCCAGAGGAGGAGGAGAGTGCAAGAGTCTGTTTCCACCCAAAACAGACCAATACTGTAACCGCTCATCACTGTTCATCACTTGATTATTGGCGGGTTGGTTAATACTGGGATTAATCATAAACTAACCCTAGCTTTAGTTCTGCAGACCATTTATCTGGAAGCACTTATCTTACTTTTGGATTTGTGGAGGGTTTAGATAAAATAACTACTAGATCAAATAACTTTTGGTTTCGGTCTTGCAAACCCATAACTGAGCTTACCAGGTTTTGCATCCCAAACAACCATTTTACCTTTCCCAGTCAGTATTTATTCAGTCCATTTGAGGGCAAAGACATATGTCTTTGCAAGAGGTATGACTCTGTAGATTTGGCATGCTGTGGAGGCAGACAGCATTCTTTGCAGGGCTGCCACGCTTTTGCATCCGAGAGCTGTCTCAAAGCAGCTATTCAGCAGTAGTGTTGCAAGAAAAGACTAACAAGGGAAGCTAGTTGCATGGACATGGATGCCATAATCTTCTCCAGAGCACAGACTGTGTCTTTGCCAACTAGCTCTGAAGTCCTACAATGCTCTCCACAGTAAGACTATATCCATCATGAATTCTGAAGATGAGCCTAAACCAATTTATCTTACCTCTGGAAGCCAGTGGGGTTTTTCCCACATATTAAGGCAAAGCAAGAATTTTTGATAAAAAATGATAAAAAACGCGTGGCAGATTTTGATTTGAACTCCCCCTGCCCATAATCCTCTGGGGCTGTACGTGCAGGCTATCACTCCAGGACGTGGCTGGTACAGCAAGTTGCTGTGTAGCCTCAGGCCTACAGGTAGATCATTCCCATTGCTTCTGTTGTCCAGTCTTCCAGTGCAGGCTTTGCATATGAGTTGCCCAGGTGTGAATCAATCATGGACACAACCCCATGGCTCTTCCTCAGTACTTTAGACTCTTTTCAACACTTGAACACTTCAAACACTTGTTCAAATCCACAGACCCACCTAAGATCCTCCCAGTTGTTACTATGACCCTTTTGACCCAAGTTTTGGTAAGACTAAACTTCCTGAACATCTTCAGCTTCCCAAATGTCTGAGAACATTATTTCACAATTAGCTGCTTTGCAGCCAACGCTTCTAATTATTCCTCACCTCTGAAACAAGAAGCTGTTTCGTAAAAAGTGCCTCTAACACTAGTCTTTCCCAGCACAAATTACAGTTCTAATTTGGCAATGTTACATTTGAAATAAAATAATACATTCTTGGAGGTAAGCAAAGTTTTTCCATAAATTTAGCTTGCACACTGTGGAATGAATTCCCAAGCATAAATATTTATAGATGTATTCAAGCTGATGGATTATTTTCCTATGGGCAAAACCAGCTCAGCTACAGGGAAAGAGGATTGTACTACTGAGTCTTCTGCAACAATCAAATGTTAAAAATGTGTTTTGAGAGATGTTCCTCATTCTGATAGTATAAACCATTTTAACCACTGATAATATGGCATTTTTTAAAGGCTCTGGAATAACTTTTGCACTCTCAGTTACACTCATGCCCATGAGTGCTCAAAGTCACTTGGGTATATGGGACTTCATTTCCTAAGTCACTTTTGAGCTTGTAGGGACAGAGAATGAGATGGGGCCTCTGGAAATTTGAAGTTAATCTCTTGCGATAAAAAATAAACACTTCTTTTAGTCCTTCCCATAAAAGCACTCAGGTTTCTGATCTCTGTGATTCCCACCATAAGGTTTTCCCAGAGTCTCACCCCTGTGCATGGCCAGAGCCTTCCCTCCTGGCCATACATTTTCAGCTTAAATGGATTTATGGACAGTTCACAAACATTTGTTCTTCTGCTTGCACTGTCCTTTCCCTTACAAATTTCTTCTGCCTCATAGGTAATTACTCCCCTTGCAGAATTAAGAGACAACCCTTGCCAGCCCTTTGTTTTGCTAGGTTAAAAAGAGCAAATTTCTGTTCCACACTAAAAGAATAGTTTCTCCTTTTCCCTAGTCATCCTACTATTTCTTCCCTATTTTTGTTGCAGTTAGTCTTTCCTAAAGACGTGGAATCAAATTTTTACACAATGTGCCACATAAGGCCTTACCTGAGTTGTGTGCAAAGACATGTATACGTCCCTGTATGTCTTGAAAACCCCTCTCCTGATCCTAGGATCAGACTAATTTTTTCATGGCTGTATCACAGCATTTTCTTACACTCAGTTGGCATTTGCTTACAATTACTTAGCAGACTAGGCCTTTCTTTTTCTCAGACACGCCAGACTGTTCACCAGTATAGGCATGTAAGAGATTTTTTTTTTATTAGTTTCCCCATGCCTGATCTTGCATTTTTTATGATTAAATTTCGTACCACTTCTATCACTCTAGCTTTCAAGGCTAGCCCAGTTCTTCCTGAATGATACCCTTGATATTCCTTTGAGCTTCCCAAAACTGAAATCCATAGGTTGTTCAGAAAGGAAGAAATCTTTTTATGTGGAACCAACATATATCCTAAGCCCAGCACAAAAGATTTAGAAAGAATATTTTTGTGGAAAGGTTTCCAGTAGTATGTTTCCAACTCATCATGCACTGATACACATCTTTAACATTTATTCTTAGTTTCCATGTACTCCACTGCCACCTGAACGGAACGTATTTATCTTTCCACAGTTGTTCCAGGGCTTATTAACAGAATTATATATTCATGCATAATTGGCTGGATTATAAATCCATATTACTGTAGCCATGGGTATTTTCACAAAGTTATGAAGCTAATAATTTTTCATAAAATGTAGTCACTATACCTGGGAGGAAAAGGCCTGGCTTTCCCAAGCAATGGTCCAATCTGAAAAGCAAACAGAATTACCAGCAGTGCAATTACCAGGCAACCTAAACTCCGTTGCTAGGAAAAGAATAGGAGCATAATTTACATGAGACTTTACATTAGCTTTAAACCTAAAGCAAAGCAAGCAAAAACATGAGACTAGCATGATTTTCTGCACATACAGTCAGCAGTCTAGTTCTTTAGAGTTTTTTTCCAAAATCAAACCATATTATTATTGTTATTTTCATGAGTACTAATATTTTATTTCTTAGACTTTCACGTTGTAACTAAAACATAGTTCTCCTGTGTCACATGTAATCTAATAACAAACAGAATAGCTTCTTAATATCATTTGCAACTATTCCTTGAATCTCATGCAAGCGCATTTAATATCTATATATGTTGACACAGTAGATTCCGTTCAATAGGATTATATTTTTTTTCTCATTTCATTTAAGCACCATAGCAGTTCAGTCTGGTGTCCCAGTCCACAGTGTTAATTTGTAAAGAGAAAAGCACTTTGTGCTGAAACAGAAGAGAATAGTTTTGTGGCAAAATATTTCAGCTGCGATCCCCAAACTCGGAGAAAGCATGTGCATAGAGGAATGTGGGCAGGGAAAAGTTCCAGACAGAGAGGAGCACAAGTGAACCAGATTTCTCTCAGTTGTGGAGAACCACAGAGAGGGGACAGAAAGGTAAATCATTATTTGAAAAGTTTTCCTTTTCTATGAAGAGGGCAGAAAAGCTCATTTCATACTACAAACTTCACAGCATGTACCATAATTTCTTTTAATTTCACTTGGAGGAGGAGGAGAGGAGGATAAGGGATAGTTGTAAACTTGATCATAAAAAGGGTTAAAAATGACTCCAAGTTAAATCCTCTAGATATTGTGCTCCCTGTTGTGCTTGCAATTTTGGACAATTACTGTTCATTAAGTACACATCTCTCCTAAAGCCAGCTGGCACCAGAGAAATCAAATATTTCATGAGGTAGACAGGGCCTACCTTCTCTGAAGTTCTTTTATCCGAACCATCATGTTGAGGTGTCCTTGTGAGTACTGTTCAATCACATCGCGTACATCATATGGTTTCCGAGCTTGCTGTGAAAGGAATCATACATGAGATTGAAAGGTAAGTATAGCTTAAATTTGATTTTTATTTCAGGCAGGCCTTCATTCTATGTTTTATCTTTCAGAGGTTATTTGCTTGCCATTTTGCAACGGTTGTTGCAACGAATAAAAATTATGTAGGCATTGTAGGAGTGCATATTTATTGTGGAGATGGAGCCAAATGATTCCCATTACTGTCAGTTAGAGTCATGTCTTCATGTTACTTCATACTTAGAAAAATATTAGACCTTCACAGACTATTTAAAAAAACACAAACCCAAGATATATAATTTATCTAAGACTATCATGTGCAATATCTCTTGGCTCATTCCAAAACCATATGTTAATCATAATGTCAGAGGACTGAACCACAGAGACAGGCCCAATTCATAACACTTGGACCCAGAATCAAATGCCTCTAAAGACTAAAGATGTCTGGTGACAGAAATATTATTGCTTAAGTAACTGGGAGGACAGATGCTTTGCCTAAGTCTGAAGACTGCTGCATGTAGATTTTGTTTGCGCTTCTTTGTCTTTAAAGATACCTACGAGGTCAGAAAAAAGGGTGCAATTCAAATAAATAAAAAAGGACAGATAAAAAATGCAAGAGAGCTAAAAAACCTCCATCTGCCCAGCTTTATTCCTGTTCTAATGAGAATCTAGATGCTTCTGTCAAGCTCTGGTTTCTCGCTGTAACTACTAAGGCAGAATTTTGAAACAAGTCTAAAGAATTTGCATAAAGCAATGCGATTATAAAAAGCGCAGCATGGTAAAATTTTATCAAGTAAAATTAACGTGTGCGTGTGTGTGTTGGAATAAATGCAAATGATGTCCTTTCAAAAACACCGGCATGTTCAGAGCCACACCAACCCTTATGGGAAATGTGGGGCAAGATGTGTCCTTTTTGGCTCTGACTCAAGAAAAGAAGAAAAAAACGAAAGGTAAACTGCAAATCTAGTAATTGGAAATTACTGAAAACAGCTCATTAGTCATCTTGTTGTCTGTTTCCACTCTGTCACAGCTTCAGCCAGAGCCATTAGCATGCACCACTGCACACATGCATTGAACACCTACAGTATGTGCTGGAGTCATGCTTGGAAGGCGGCCACAGGATCCTAGAAATTTCAAATGAAAGCATGGAACTGGAACGGAAACAAATCCTGTGAAATGAATGAAGAAGCAAAAGCTCTTCGTGATAAAATGACTTCCTTGCGCTCAGCCGTCAGCACGTACCTGCATTATTACTTTCAGAAGAGCTCGTGGCTTTGGTAGCGTGTCTGTACATCTATGTGCATTTGTGAGAAGAGAGACTTTGCGGGGGAGGGAGGTTTCAGCTTTCAGTTTATCGCCTTTTTTTTTTTTTTTTTTTGCCTTCCCCAGCTTCACATTTTGCAGACGCTGACACATCACTATTTCTGGCCAGAAAAGCAGCCTATTGTCTTCACCCAGAGAAACAGTGCCAGTATCACTCTTTAGATTGACTAGCGGGGGTGCTTTGAGAGCATTTTGGCTAAATCCTCTGTCCTTTCCTTTGGACACTCTCTATTTAAACACGATGCATGGCGCAGAGCCTAGATGTGCTGGGGATTTTTCCCCACCTCCCTCCCCTCTCCCCCATGGCTACTATGTGCATAATTAATTCTGCTCATTCCCAATGAAATTTCTTTTCTCCCTCAAAAAAACTCCTCTATCTGTTATCCCTTTCACCAAATCATCAGCTCTGAATCCTATACTTGCAAAGTACTGTACACTGCAGTCTGCCTGAGTCCTCTCTAAAGCACAGTATAAATATCCTTCCAACTTTCACCGTTTTTCTTTCCTCTTTTCCCATAAAGCTTTAGATCTGAGCATCTTATGTCCTGCCAGACTTTGGCACAATCTCTTGTGATGTTTTTATTAGGAAATGCTAGTACAATAGAACTTAAGGTGGGAGGTAATGGGCTCCCAGGGAGGTGTGGTAAATGCAGAACTTGAAGAACTTCTTTAACTTTCATTCTGTCTGTAATCCCAAATCCTGGCCATTTGGGCTCAAGCATTCTACATCCAGAGCGCTTAGAGCTCCTAATGCAAAACTCAAAATAATATCACCCGGCTTTGAACTTCCAAAATCTAATCAGCATGGGGAGTCCTATAAGCTATATTTCACAGCCCTAAGAAAGAAAAAAATATAAGGTAATTCCTCCTTCTTCCTCCCTATCACTAAAACCAACTCACAGAATCCTCCCCATAGACCAATCAAGTTCAGTTTTTAAGGCTTGGCATGACTGCTATTAGCTGCCAGCTCCAGACCATTAGGTCTCTGGTGGTTTGAAATATCCTCGTTTTTATCCCAACTCATTTATATACTGATTTTATTTTCCAGGAATGGTGTCCTTAATTTTCTTTTTTTCTTTTTTTTTTTTTTTTTTTGATTTCCCATAGTGTTTCTCTCTCTGATGTATTTACAATATAATCCTGCTCTCCTCTTGTTTACTGAGTTAAACAGACTTCTCCTAGTCTTCTTTCATAAGGTAAGGTCATCTGAAGATAGATTTCTGCATGAGCTTGGGTAATGTATGTGCTATTCTGTCTGCCCTAATTCAGAGTCTTTTGAGTGCTGTGAGCTTATCTCAGACTTCTATCCCTTGCAATTAAGTGCTCAACTCTAATCAAGCTTGCTTGAAATTTAGGTTCTTGCTTTATCTTTTTAAAACCTCTTCAAAAGGATTATGAAAGTTGATTAACTTGCAGTGGACCCTCCTGGACAAAAAAGCATGAACCTTCAGGTGGAAATAACAGAGGCTTTGAAAATCAGGCCAGAAGTTAATTATTCATTTCCATGGCATCACCAGCACATGGGTGATGAGAATGATGATACCAGAACCACATTCCAAGCAAGTTTTATTATAATGGGCGTTAGTAAACAGGCAAAATGAGAGACCCTTTCCAGTACAGAACATTTAGTTTGAGCACTTTGTAACCTGATTGAGAAATTTAACTTAAGACCTCGTAAAGACAGTAAATTTCCAGAGGGCAGATGCTCCACAATTTTATAAAATATGGCCTCTCTATGATGTCCCATTGTGGGAAAAAATTTGGAAATGTGGGCCACAAATGTGAAAGCAACTTTACACAGCATGGTATTCATCAGTAAGGTCTATTGATCTGTCAACCATACATAGCACGCAATTAGTTGAACATTCTCTAACCTAAGAGAAGTTAGATGGTCAGTATAGACAGTAACAGTATTTTAGCAGGCACTCCAACAGATTCTTTCCTTTCACTTCTTCTAGTAGATGGGTAAGTAGTTTCTATATTGGTCAATATAGTAAACCAACCAACCAACCAACCAGAACCCCAACAAAACAAACGCAGTAAAAAAGAGAAGTGAAAAATAACTATGCTGACTCCATAAATTCAGAAGGTTTTCGTATCATACTACACCTATGGATAGTTGATAGCTTTGCCCACACTATGAAAAAATCCACATAGGCTAAGTATGAGGCCGAGAGCCTAAACAGTACCTTAGACTTATTACAACTGCATGCACAAAGACAAATTCACTCTCAGAGCACTTTTAATGTCATATACTTAAGCTTACAAATTGTACTTATGGTTAATGGTGCTGCTGCTTACCTGAAATTTTCTTCTGGCTACAAAATACTGCATTCTCCTAATGACTTTTACAGCTGTTCGATGTGCTTCAGTTAATCTGCCAAGAAAGACAGACACAGACATACACCAGCGGGGTTAAAAAAAAGTAGTAAAAATATCTTAATGAAAGACGTTGACTCTAAGCACCAAAATCTACAAATACGTTTTATGTCTACAATGCAAAATTGTAGCATAACACACCGTGTGTGCATGTGTATTTTGTTCTGTTGCTTTACCCTCTTGTGTATTGTGGTTCTAAGTATAAAAAACTGATACATGAGACAATGAAAGCAGGTGTACAAAGATAATACATGTGGAGAGGATTAGACAGGATTACTGTCAATGCATACAACTGGCATCAGTTTGAAGAATGTGAAACGTTTTTAGAACCATGACTGCATTCCTTATTTTGCATTTATTGAGTGTTTGCCCATGAGCTTTATTGCACAGAAATTAAGTCCTTTAAAAAGTACTTTGAATTCTCTAGGAAGGAAAGAAAAATTGAAGTATCACAACTAAAAAAAAAAAAAATTAAAATTAACACAACACACCCTCTCGGCACACGTGTGTGTGTGCATGTGGCTGGCTGTATTGGTATTCAAACACAGAACTGGACATATCATAACTTAGCAATATCACTTCACCCAGAGGATACTATATTTGCAGAACATTAATTGTGCCACTTGGCTGGCAATTAATTACCACACTCTCTTATTTACGGTGAATTTTGGAGGAGTAACTGTAAGAACAAGTATTTTATTTAAGCACTGACTCCTTCCCCATGGACTTCTTCATTCATTTAAAATGAGTGAACTAAAGCAAACAAAATTTCCTTTCCAAGGAAGCCGCAATGTTAAGAAATCTATGTTCTATACAGACATCATCTCTGACATGTGATGATAACCATAGGAAAGCTTGCCAGCAAGTTTCTCAGGTCTCCTGAAAACACAATTTGCCGCCTCTTCCCAGTATATCTGACTGGGGAAAAGGAAGTATTGGCTAGGCCACCTACTTGGATGCCACAGTTTAGAGAAAAAGTCTTTAAAAAGTGGAAACATTACGGTGTATTATTTCAAAGTGAAGTAAATAAAAGGTAAAACCAACAGGGACTGTAATTAAGAACTAGCATCATTTTTCATAATTTCTCTTTGATAAAATTAGTGCTTTTGGTTGGGTGAGATACCACAGCCACAGAAACAGAGTTTTTAAAATCAGCTGTCAATAGCTTTTTCTTGCTTTTTCTATTTCAAGTCCCAGTTTAATATTAAATACATGCACTAATACATGTGAAACTCAGGTGTCTATACTACATATATCCTCACACTTCATATATCTATGTATATTCATGCACATATCCATATATATACACTCACACATGCAAACACACAGAAGACAATGCAGGGTGAGCACGATTCAAGAACCGTCGTTGTTGTATACCATCAACAGCATCGCTAAGTACGAATCTTTGCATTTGTGTAAGCCCATCAAAGGGATTTCAGAAGTGTCACTGACGGACTACCAGTAGTTTAGCCTACAGGACCTTTATTATGGTGAAAGAAAAGCTCTCAGCTTGACGCTCAGGGCTCCAGCTGAGCTCCTGTGGCTGGTGACTAGAATGGAGACAACGTTCTGCTTGTAAATGGCACATACTTGATAGAGAAATCTTTGTCTGTCAGCCCGTACAAGTAATATATATATATTTTTATAACCAGAAAAGAATCACAATTTAGGGTTTAGGGTTTAGCCTTCCTCCTTTTTGTACCAGTTAAGATAAAAGCTTGAAATTATCCCCTAGATCTAAATGATGTGAGACTTCATACGTATACTTAAGAGGGGTTTTTTTTAGGGTAATCCATATGAGATAGTTCATGCATTGTTTAAAGAGCCTCAAATACATAAGCTTCAAGAAGTCAGAGATGGAAACAAACCAAGGCAGTAATTTCCTCCTAATTCCCCTCCTTCGGCAGAAATCAGGGCTACAGAACTTTTTCCAATCTGTTCCCAAGTTTAAGTGTCCAAAATGATGAGGTTGACTCTTGGAACCTTATGCACAGTTGAACAGGCCTCACTTTTAGAGAAAGAAGTTATTTATTTGTGAAATACAGCAAAGAAAATCACCTGACTATAATTCAAAAGCACTTGATATTGGCCTGTTCCAACTGGCAAAATTCCCACCAATCTCACTGGGAGCAAATTTTGAAAAAGGACTAAGTTACTGTTCAGATTTGATGGTCATTAGCATTAAACTGAGGGACAGAAATACATGAAACCTGGCTTTAATGGAAAAAAGACCATGTGAAAATGTGCAAACCCATAGACTGAGATACGTGGATGTGTTATCTTAATTGCCTCAATAAATGCATAAGGAGCACAGCAGCTCTAGATGAGTCAAACTCCCTGCTCTGCATAGCAAGCAGAGCTATCCTTCTGACGGGTGGTTGTGGCAGCGTGGCTAACCGTGATCCTACACATTTTTGCAGATTTTAGCTGATTTTCATAGTTTCTTAGCACTGGTGACCAGAATGGGTAACTACGGCTGTTACCGGCAAGGTTACATTTAACTCTGTATTTAGCCCAATATTTAGCTAAGCCTTATATTTTACCCCAAAACCTGCGATTAGGCAAAACCCTTTAAGCCTTGAGGGTGTCAGTCTTTTACATGCCAGAAGCATACAACAGGAGAGAACAAAAGGCCAGAGACACTTTAGGTCATGCTTTAGTAGTGCTCAATAGAAACACAACAATGCTTGCCATGAACCTCCTAAAATACTTTGAGATACACAACTCATGAAACAACAACCCGGGGGGGTTGTGGTGGACACCGTACTTGCACACTCTTTCCACGTGGCATTTTCTACTGACAGAAGACAGAAATGGACAGATCTTCACAGGTATTATGGTGCCTAACTCCCATGGAGGGGAAGGTTTAACTACTTTTGTAGCTCCAGCTCCCAAATGAAGTCAGTAGGACCTGAGCACTTGCTCGAAGTAGGAATATGGGTGGGTGCCCCTATGAAAGCAGCCAAGCTCTCCTGCCTCTGTGCAGCAGAGGGCAGTGGCACACACACACTAGGAGATGCTTTCCAGCACATTAAAAAAATTATTTAAATTGTTTAAAATCTTTACCCATAACACCAAGCATAAATGCTAGACCTCGTAAGGATGAGGTCCATGCTGAGGTAGAGTGTTACTGTTGGGTGGGTTGTTCTTTGTGTATGTTTTGCTCAAAAGAATATGATTAGAGTTTTATTGGCGGACAACGGTGTACATTCCCATCTTTTCACCTAAACTACAGATAGGAAGGTTTTGTTAAAACATTCCCCAAAAGACTGCAAAGGAGAACAAAATGACATTTGAACAGAAGCGATCGGGATTTTGGAATGTTATAAGCACATCAAAAAATTAATAATGGGAGCTTGTAACATCTGCAACTGTAACGGATACCATGAAATGTCTACTGAAATAACATACACTTGGATCCATAAGTGATACTGACATCGTCTATAACTACGTCTTCACGTAGGACCCAAGCCTTGGACCCATTTGCAAACCAGCACGTGTGCCTTACCTTTCTGTTAACGGATTGCCCAGCAGGATGCTCAATTTTAAAAGCAGTCAAACCTACCCCTAATTACAACGAGTCCTTCCCAGTTTGGCTTATGGACTCCTGGGCTGTCGTATCGCTGTGGTAGGGCAGGGAAAAAGAGGAATGGGTGGAGGGCCTGGACCCTATAAGTTAACAAGCAGTTCCCACCCTGATCTGATCTCTCCAGCGACTATTCTAGAGGGTGAGGGGGGAAAGGGGCCCCTCTTTGCTGGCTGACTCGACCTTCCCCTCTGCAGGTTTTGAGTTTGCCTATGGGCTACAGAGCCTGGCGGGACGGCCGTGAGCCAGGGAGGCTCTGCAGCCCCAGGGTTGGTCCTCTGCTCGTGGCTCAGAGCGCACTGTGAAAAGTCCCTACTTTTAGCTTAAAACACCTGGATGCATTTAAGACTTTTTGGTTTTTAACTGCAGAAAGGTAGTAGCCTAAGCCAAAGAAGCCAAACATTTTCAGCTGAAAATAATTGAACCAGAGGAGGAAAGAGAGATGATCAAATCCAAAGCAACTCTGGAAACCATCCACAGGGATTTTTTTTCTTTTATTTTTATATTCTGCTCTGTTTGTTAAAAGCTTGTGTTGGCCAGTTCAGACCTACTCTTTTTCTTCTTCTTTTGTATGGAGTCTGATAACTTTCAGCTTAATGTGCTTTGGAACAGTCAGGGAAAATTTTAAGTGAAAAACAGATATGGAAAAGGACCCTAAACACAGGCAAAGTTACAACTATTCCAGGCCATGCTGAGGCACAGCTCAAGTCTCCAAACAAGCCTGTTGTCAGCGTGATGCACCTTTCAGTCCAGAAGCATTTTTTAATCATTGGAGTTCGCTTCAGCGTAGAGACAAGGGGAAGGACTTTATTCAGGCTGTGCTGCAGGACGGCTGCAGATAGCAGAGTGTGCATTCCAGGCTGGTTTTCCTGCCGTTTATTCAGGTGTCGTGAATTAGAAGAGTTATTCAGTGTAACGTAACTACTTTGATCATGAACTGTGGAAAATAAAGGCCACTTCAGCAAGGTCAATTATAGCTCTCTGTCCCAATTTGCAAAACTGGTTTGAGGATACACGCTTACAGTACCTGCATTACTGCTGAGCTTCATTCGTTTGTTACGTTTTGATTGCTTAGCAGGAAAACACATATAAAGTCACACTAACACTACTTTAATACGTTCATTGGATAATGTTGTAACTCCTGCCCAGAGTAACATACAGCATCATCTATTCTGGAGTCGTTCACTTGACATCAGTTTCTAAGCCAGCACAAACAGTGACTAGGTCAGTGATGGCAACTGAAACGTAAAGAAGTTATTTGAGAAGCTCACTCCTCCATCTGCTTTTTTGTTTTCCCATCACATTTGATTAAGAGTATTCACTTTCTGGCTCTGTTTCTAGGAAAGAACTTTGATTCTCAGTCATAACTTTAATTTTTCTCATGTACAATTATCTTAAATGGGCTGATATTT